TAGAGGCTTCCTCTAGTCGTCCTACACGAATGCTGGAGGCTTCCTCCAGTCATTCCTCATCGTGCTAGAGGCTTCCTCTAGTCACGATACTACTCACTAAGCAAATTCTATGCCTAGGTTTTCTCTATCTTGAGTAGCCTATGAGGCCTACTCCTAATGTAATTTAGCGGTTACCCATTCCTACCTTAAGACATCTCATAAGACTACTTAAGGTGCATCCTTCACAATCCAAGCCCTTAGGATTTGTTCTATCACTTTTTACGCTAACATCCCCGGCTAGTATTTCTATACTAATCATTTAACCTTAATAAGCCAATGCAATTTCATAGTAATTTGGCTATTTCAATTTAATTCCACATTCAAGTATAACTTGGTTCTAATATCAAAATATCACTTTTATCCTTCCATGACTTCCTTACATGAGGTAAAAGTATATTTATCACAATTCATTTATAGTTTACACGCTATTATACCATTGTATTCATAATACATAATCATACACAATTTATTCATAAATTTGTATATTATGCACTTTTACTTATAAACAATAATAATCTCATTTAGGCATTTTGTTATATTATAAATAAATCATGCCAAACACATATAATTCATTTAGGTAATCTTATGAAATTAACCCAATAATTATAAGCAATATAGTCGGTCATCCTCACCTTAATTGAGCTTCAAACCTTTCTTTCTTGATCCCATGGTCAAAGCTTTGGCCAAGGAAGATTGAGAACTGATTCCTTGCTTGGAATTGAGTGTTAAACAGCCTCTCCAAAGTGCTAGTTCAACTCCTAACCGAGGACACAAAAACAGTCCCTAGAACGGGTGTTCCCGACGAAATCGTTCCCTAACCTTTCAAGGTTTTGTCTAGATTAGTATCTAACTTTTCCAACAATTAAAGTCACTTTATAATAACATTTTATACACTTCAATCAGTGTATAATAGTTCTTCAATCATTTATATGGTTTAGACAATAGAGAGGAAAGTTTTGGATTCAAACTTACCTTGAATACAAAAACGTATTCCGCGAGGTTGTGTTTTGCTCGGACGATTTGGAAGCCTTCCACTACTCCGATTGATGCAAACCAGACCTTCACGGATTCCTCGTCTTGAGAGCTTTCTGTGGGTATCTCGCACGCCTTATTTGGATGTGTATAACTCGAGATATGAAGCAAACAAGTAACCTTACGCACTGGAAAACGAACCTGCGGCAGCTTCCCCTTTCTCTTGCTTTCTTGGTTGTGTGGCTCTCTCCTTCTCCCTTATCCTTGGGAGTTCGAATGAGGGGATTAAGGGAGTGTCCAAGACCCTTCAATAAGGGTGGATATGTTGTGTGGAGTGAAATGAATTGGTATGGTCTCCATGAGATGTTTTTAGACATGGGTGGGTCTCACTTTTGATCTCTTTGTCATAAGATGTCTCTTTGTACTCATTCTAATTTATTTAGAACAAGTCAACTCTCTACATCATATTATTGATCTCCATTATGTGTATGATCATCCCAATAATTTACTTGATGGATATTATAGAAGGAAAATCCTACTCCCATTATTTAGCTCAATAATGCCAAAGATGGGGTTATAGGCATTTGTATTCTTCTTTAATCATTCTATCACTTATTTGACATTTGTCATACATATTAATGGGCTACTAGCCATGTGGGTCACTCCCGAGTGGGTCTAGAACGCCATTCTCGAATACTTGCTATTTTTAGCAGGTTGGACTCAAAATAACGTTTGGGCCGTCCGACCTTACTCGGACTGTCTTGAAAGGTCATGTATCACAATTTGGATAATGTTGGGCTCTTTTATTTATTAATAAGACCCAAATAGTATTTGCATGCCCGTCACTAATATACGAGTTCGAACAGTACACTAATCGATCATTAATTACGTAAAACATTAATCGTTTTACAATTGTTTGGGAAACAGAAATCCAATACATAAACTTTGAATTTTTAAATCAAATTTTCAAGGACGTTCGGGCGCGGTGTCACAATTTTGGAGACTAATATTTGTGTTATTATTTGCGGTTTGTATTTTTGATTAATTTTATTGGAAAATAGGTGTTAAAATATAAAAGAACAATGAGATATTTCACGTTTGGGCTTTAACCGGCCCAACCCAAACCTGAACCGAACCCGGGCTACCAAAAACCCGACTCGGACCGAATGTAATGAACCTAAACCGTATTAATAGTTGGAATAATAAATTTCTTTCCAAGACGGGTAGGGAGGTTTTACTAAAAGCGGTGATTCAAGCCATGCCAAACTACACGATGAATGTTTTTTTGCTACCTGATGAGTTATGTAAAGAAATTGAAACTCTTATGAACGGCTTTTGGTGGAAGGGTAAGTCGGGTAAAAGAATTTGCTGGAAGGATTGGGCTTTTTTAAGTAGACCAAAAAAGTATGGTGGCATGGGTTTCAAAGGGCTGAAGGATTTTAATCTTGCTATGCTTACTAAACAAGCATGGAGAATTTTTACTGCTCCGGAGTCCCTTGTCAGTAAAGTTTTTAAGGCCCGGTATTTTCCGAAAGGGGATTTTCTCTCGGCTAAACTCAGTCACAACCCTTCGTTCATTTGGAGGAGTCTCTATCAAACCCAAGAGGTGGTTCGGAATGGTTATAAGTGGCGGGTTGGGAATGGTAAATCTATTAATATTTGGGAGGAACCCTGGTTACCCGACAGAGTTAATCCCAAACTTGTTACGCCAGTTTGCATGGAACTTCAAAACACCTTTGTGGAAAATCTTTTTGATAATTCGGGTAGTGCTTGGGATTCTGACATTCTCAAGGATATTTTAGTTGATAGAGATGCTTTGCTTGTTCAGTCTATTCCCATCAGTATGCGCTCTGTACCGGATGTGAAGTGCTGGAGGTGGGAGGAAGATGGTCGTTTCTCAGTCAAGAGTTGCTACCATTTCTTAGTCGGGGATTTCAACTTGTCTGAGCAGAAGGACTGGTCGGTTATGTGGTCTTGGAAACTTCCTCCAAAGCTTAAAATTTTCTTCTGGAAGGTTTGTACAGGCAGCCTCCCAACTAGATATAATCTGCAGTCACGCCGTGTGCTTTGTCCTGGGCAGTGCGGCTTGTGCTATGGGCCGGGGGAGTCTTTATCCCATATTTTTATGTCGTGTGTAGTAGCTAAGGAGGCGTGGGAAGCAGTGAGCTTCCCACAAGAAGAAAGGATGACTTGGTGAAGATGATTTGAGGTTGTTGGGCCATTTGGAATGAGAGAAACCGCCGCGTCTGGCAGAATACTTCTTCTCCGACGTGTCAATTTATGTTCAGGGCTGAGGCGATGGTGGCAAGTTGGGACCAAGCGCAGGCTGTCCACAAGGTTGGCTTCGCAGCGGGGGCGCGCCTTCCTGGAACCGTCCAGCAGCGGGGACGATGAAACTGAATGTTGATGCTGCTGTCCGAGCTGATCACTGCGGGCTAGGCTGGTGTTTGAGGGACAAGGATGGTACTTTCGTGGCGGGGGCTGCACGCAAATGGCAGGGGCAGTGTTCCGCATTGGAAGCCGAGCTGCTCGGAATTAGAGAGGCTCTAAGCTGGCTGCAAGATTTAGAGTGGCGTGATATTGCAGTGGAGTCTGATGCTTCTCGCGCTATCTCTGAAATTTTGAAGGGCTCGAGTCATTCTTCCTACGGTTTGGTGGCAGATGATATTAGAGAGCTTGCAAAGAATTTTTTAAGCATCTCTTTCACTCATATTAGTAGATCAGCGAACAAGATCATCTCATGTTGTTGCTAAGGCGGCCTGTTCTTTGTCTGATTCTCAATCTTGGTTTTCTAATCCTCCGTCATTTATTTCCCATGTAATTGACAATGATTTGATTAATAATAGCTAATCCCCTTTCTCTCAAAAAAGTATGAAAGTTCAATTTTTTTTGGAAGAAGATGACTTATATTAATAAGAATGAATGTAAGCAGGTTACAATCAGACAAAGAACCCTATGTCTACCGTATACCCTTGAACCAGACTTAGAACATGTCACCTCCAAAGAAGTAACCAGATTCACTGATTCTGAACTGGGCATACCTGAGCCAACTGGCAAACTAGGTTTTTCATCACCTGTCCTATACTCCTATGCTCAAGAGTCTTGACAAAAATAAAAACAAACGCAAGCAAAAATAAATGATGTCCAAAGGGAAAGCTAACAGACATAAAAACAAGTCTAAAATCAAAGATGACTCCGATCTGCCAGCGACACCAAATCTTCATAGATTTTGGCGGGTCTGAGCATTCCAGCCCGCCTCTTCCCTGTTTTTCTAGACGACCAGGTGCGCCTTCGCTTATGATCTCCCGTGCCGCTACTGGTCTTCCTACCCTCCTCCAGATTTGCCTCCTCCTCTCCTCCCCGGGTCTTGTCTAGCACGAAGCTCTGTCTCTGGTCTTGCATTTCTTTGAAAAAACTATGTTTCCCTGCATGATCCTTTCCCACCCCTCCTTCACTTATCAACCATTGACTACCACTAGAAGGGAGTGACGTTCCTCCCCCCGCCCGCAACCATGGTCCGAAGGACAATCGCCTTATCCCCACTTTCATACAGAAGTGGACAAAATTTATCTGCATGGCCGATTATGCCGCAAACAAAACAGAAGCTAGGCAATTTCCCATATTTGAAATATACCCAGTACCCCTCCCCTTTACTTTTCTTCAGGGTTAACCCCACTTTTAGAGGTTTCCTCACATCGAGCGTAACCCTAACCCTCATGTAGGATTCCCGCTTCTCAACAAACTAATTATCATCCCAAGAAATGAAATGACCTAAATGATTTCCAATCTTACAAGCATATCCCAAATTTGAAAAGCCATAGGGGATATTGTGTACCTGTACCCAGAAATCAGCTGTATCAAGAGGTACTTTCAGGGGCATATCCCCCGTTTTGATAGCTTTTAACACCAACAGATGTTAATCAAACAACCAAGGTTCACTATCCAATACACGATTCATGTCAATTATATGATAAAATGTAAACTGATACCTCTTCTCCCCGATATCTTGAATCAACACACCTCTAACTCAACGCCACAACGATGCCATCAGATCGCGGAGAGCCTGGAATCTGACCAGTTTATCTGTTAAAATCGTGCCAACCACGGGGAATGCTTTCACCATCGTCCGAGCCGCACGAGAAATCGGCGGAAATCGTAAACCCTACAAGAGGGAAGGCCGCATTAAAATAAAATATACTTCCTCTGTTCTTTTTAATTGCAACAGTCAACATTTCACGTTTGCCAACGCACAAGTTTGACTATTAATATCTTTCATTCATTATTAGTAACAAATTTAAAAAATTCATATTTTGAAAATTTAGAATGAGAAGAATTTAACAATATTTTTTATAAATTTAATTTATTATACATTAATTAATAAAATATAGTCAAAGTAGAATATGCGAATAGTGCAAAAAGTCCAATGTTGCGATTAAAAGAGAACGGAGGTAGTATGACAATTCTATTTTGAATTTCAAATTGTTTTTAACTCCTATGGAGTATTTTTTTTGGTAAACTCCTATGGAGTATTTAGAATTTCTTTTTAAACAAAAATGTGATATGTCATATTTTTTTAAAAAAATATAATACTATCGTATGACCGTAAAATTTTCATTTCAATATTACATTTTCATGCATGAGAGTTCTCTTCTTAATATTATCAAATCTTTCCAAATTTTCATTTCAATATTACATTTTCATGCATGAGAGTTCTCTTCTTAATACTATCGAACATTGGATTTTTTGGGGGAAGAATGAGGTTTCGTTTGGTTTTGTAACACTCAAGAGTCAAGACACTGTAAACAAATGCTAATTCATTTGGTTTCGTTTTAGATCAGAGATATATGACTAGCCGACGCAGTCTCAGTGCTGAGTAGGAAGGAATAGAATGGGTCTGCTGTCGCAGAGAGTCGAGAGAAGTGAAATAGCAGCCGGCGACCATATTTACACTTGGAGATCCGCCTTTGCGTATGCTCATCATGGTTTCTACTCTTTCTCCACCTCCATTATTACATTTCTTTCCAGTAATGTGTTCACATTTGCACTTTTTTTACCCACATAAACTCTTAATCAGTCCTAAATTTTGCTCAATATAAAACCTAAACTATTGGACTACTCATATGTGGATCTATTGGGATAGAGTCACTATTCATAATATGATTTCATGGTTGGAAATTATCACTAACAACAGCAAAACATAGACGATTAGATGATATGCTCATATGCATAAACCTACCCATCTCTGTTTTCTATAATTCTGTTACAATAGGATTTGTCCTTCACTCATTTTTAAAGAAATACTCTAACAAATGTAGTTAGTAGTTATTTTTCTATGATTGGGTAAGTAGCATCGTTAGGATAAAACAAGGATGGTAATGTCTGTAGAGCTACTTTATGTTTTTATTTTTCTCATTTCATAATTTATTAAACTCAAATCGGCAATGTGATGCGGGTAAACATCGACTTATGAGTACATTTGTTTGAAGTTTGTTATGCTTGGCTCCATGAGGAGGCAATGGTTAGGTTTATTTGTTAATTGTAGTTGAGATAGGATTTTCCTTATTATCTTATCTCGTTCTCACTGTCATTATGGTTTACTAAAGTCTAAATTGATCTTTACCCATCTTGAAAAGGCAAACCATTTGTAATATTGAAAAGTATAAAATTTTAAATGATTAAGCTTTGAGACTACTCCTCTCATTATTTCATTTTAGAAAAAAAAAGTGAAGATGATTTTTTTTCATGTGCTGTTGGATGGCTTGTCTAGGAATATATGTTGGTGGCAACAAAGTTGTACATTTTACAGCAAGTGGAGGAAGTATGGAAGCTGACTTGTCACTGTGCCCAAAGAATATTCTTGACTGTGGATTCCATAAGAGTGAAAGTGGAGTGCTTCTGTCTTGCTTGGACTGTTTCCTGAAGGAAGGATCATTGTATGAATTTGAGTATGGCAGTCATTGTCTGACTTTCCTCACAAAAGTCCGCGGAGGTACATGCACCATTGCGGAATCTGATCCTCCAGAAAGTGTTATCTACAGGGCCATGTATCTACTTCAGAATGGATTTGGAAAGTATGACCTTTTTCATAGAAACTGTGAAGATTTTGCCTTGTACTGTAAAACAGGCCTCATCATCGTTCATCAACAAACAAATCATGCTATGGGAAGTTCGGGAACAACTGGTCAAGTGGCTAGCGCTCTCCTAGGGGGTGCTTTGGTGGGGGTTGTTGGAAGTTTATTCAACACAACTACTCCGGTAGGCTTGGGTTTGGGAACAGGGACTTATTTAGTGAACAGGTATGGAAATGACATTGGTGTTAGGAAAGATGTTGTCAAGGTGGATGTTGAGGATATTGCTTTGTTCCATAGCCGTCAGGTGAGTGTTGAAGATATTTGTCCCACGGATGTGAATGACCGAAAAAAGGGAATTTCAAAGGAAAGTGCTTTTGATTGATTTACTTATATAGTATTTTGAAAGGAAAAAACACACTTTTATTGGGATATTAGTATGTGCGTAAGTTTGGAAATTTTTAGGGAGTTCTTAAGGAACCCTTATCATAACAGTTTTTCGTTTAAGTAGACATTAACTGCATTTCCGAAATCGAACCAAATGGATGAATTTGAGAGTGATTGTTGTAACCAGAACGATGCGGATGACCTCAAATAGTAACCTTGTGTTTGTGGCTTCATGTGCAAAAGAACAGTGAAACAGAATGATGTTGGTCTTGTTGATGGTTTCCAGTGTTCTAATTGAGGCAGGACATAGGAGGCATATGGGAGGGAGGTCACTTGGTTGAGGTTGAGCTGAATATTCATTGCATGCAGTTAGCTTATTAGTATTATTCTCTCAAACTCTTCCTACATCATCTGCCCCTTATACATGAATATGAATCACTGAACATGTCAAAATATTAACTCGAAAGATAATGGCTCAGATTCAACTATGATGTTAGCTTGTATCTTGCACTGCCTAGCTTATACACATAGATTTGGGAGATTTGGGCAGATTCTATTGCTGGGTGATTATAATGGGGTGTGATGTATATTGGATTGTCATTGGAAAACGTAATAGATGAAGAATTTTGTTTTGTGTAGATCTGTCCTTCAGCTGAAGATTTGGGCACATACATTTATTTTCTTAGTTTTGCAGTTTATAGTTTATTAGTTTTTAATGCCCTTCACCAACAGACAGTCCTAATATGTGGGCGGCTATATGCTGATGAAGGGGCCTCTTATCATTCTTTAATGTGATTTATATACGTAGTGTATGTTTTTATAATCGCCATGTAATACTGACACTCAAAGAAAATGTGGTCCTTTTTGTAAAAATTGATGGTCTGTCGGTCTGGCCCTTTATAGTTACTGCTCAGAATGAAGTCATTAAAGCTGTAACTCTGACCATTTTAGACAAGAAAACGAACCCATTCCCAATTATACTGACTGCCATCAGCAATAGTGCAATACTCGTGTGCTTAAGTTGCATTAAAGATCACTTCTTATTGCTGTGTTTTCAGTTCTGTTTGATTTTTAAACTATTAGTATTAGTATTAGGCTTATTTGAGAGTTGTAAGACTGATAAATAGAATTGAGCTCCTAGCGTTCTACAAAGATGGCAGTCAGTATTGCACACGAGCGTTCCAGAGGCTTATTACCATTTTTTCTGCCGGAAAGTGTACAAAAAATGGTAAACAACCGGAAAGTGTACTTTCCGGTAGAATTATACTAGCGTTCCAGAGGCTTATTACCATTTTTTCTGCCGGAAAGTGTACTTTCCGGTGGAAATGTCCTTGAATTGCAAAGATTTATTAGTTACAAGATCAAATTTACAGATGATTAAAGTTACAGGACCAATAATCATAACAACCGAAAGTTGCATGACTAAAATTGCAAATCTCCCGTATTGGTTGTTTAAACCACAAGTATATAGAGTGGACAAATGTGTGCAATAAGGTGATCCATTCCATTCATCTTTGATAAATGAAAAAGTGCTTCGTATTGCCACATTTGTGCCCTCTATTTCTCATATATAGTTTTAATATTCAGATTCGCTTCACTTTTTTATCATTTCTGTTGTCTAATATTGTTGTTGTTGTTGATAATTATTACTAATACTATTACTATTACTCTAATACTTATATTATTTGTTAAAATAATATGAGCCAAGTAGGTGACCCTCTCCTTTCATCATCCATTAAATGAAAAAATGTCATCTCATACACAACTCCCTTTATTTCCTTTACTTTTTATCATTATATTAAACTTTATTTTTAAATTTGTTGTATCATCACCACCACCACCATAATAATAATAATAATAATAATAATAATAATAATAATAATAATAATAATTATTATTATTATTATTATTATTATTATTATTATTATTATTATTATTATTATTATTATTATTATTATTATTATTATTACTCATTCTGGTCATTTTTACTTGTCATGTGTGTATTTCTGTTTCAGAATATTTTTATTATTTGTCTCATTTCTATACTTGAGAACTTTTACATTATTATATTTTTTCATATTCTATTTCCGATTTTTTTAGTTTTCATTATTTCTTTTCCTACCCTTTCTCATTTTCTTTCATACCCTTCTACCTCAATTATTAGGTTCCGCTGCTTCATTCTTTATCTCCATGAAATATCTCTATTAACAACAAATAAAAAAGTATGAAAGTAATATATTACTACCATTATTAGTTGTTAAAACGTAAGCATCTAGAGTGGGCAAATGTGTGCAATAAGGTGATCCATTCCATTCATTTTTGATAAATGAAAAAGAGCTCCGTATTGCACACATTTGTCCCTTCTATTTCTCATAGTTTTAATATATATTCAGATTCACTTCCCTTTTTTATCACTCTGTTGTTTAGTATTGTTGTTATTGTTTTTTAATTATTATTAATACTATTACTATTAATTAATTTATTACTTATATTATTTGTTATAACCATCATCATAAATAGTAAAAGGTGACGAGCCCAAGTAGGTGATCCTCTCCTTTCATCATCGATTCATTAATGAAAACATGTTTATCTTACACACAACTCCCTTTATTGCCTTTAGTTTTACCATTATGTGAAACTTTGTTTTTAACTTTGTTGTATCATCACCAGATTCACCACCACCATCACCACCATAATAATAATAATAATAATAATAATAATAATAATAATAATAATAATAATAATAATTATTATTATTATTATTATTATTATTATTATTACTCATTATGGTCATTTTTACTTGTCACGTGTGTACTTTTGTTTCAGAAATTTTTTATTATTTGTCTCATTTCTATACTTGAGCTGATGACTTTTACATTATTTTATCATAACCTCTTTCTGAATTTTTTAGTTTTCATTGTTTCTTTTCCCTTCCTCTCTCATTTTTTCATACCCTTTTTACTACCTCAATTATTAGGTTCCGCTGCTTCATTTTTGAATCTCCATTATTAGTTGTTAAAACCATAAGCATCTAGGGCGGCTCATAGTTTAGCTAAAGCCGTTTGTTCTATGTTTGATTGTTGTTATTGGGATGATTTTCCTCCTTATTTTATTACTCATGTATTGAACTCTGATTCCTTGAATGAAAGTTAAGTGTTTCCTCTTCAAAAAAAAAACCATAAGCATCTAGAGTGGGCAAATGTGTGCAATAAGGTGATCCATTCCATTCATCTTTGATAAATGAAAAAGAGCTCCGTATTGCACACATTTGTCCCCTCTATTTCTCATAGTTCTAATATTCATATTCGCTTCACTTTTATATCATTTCTGTTGTTTAATGTTGCTGTTGTTGGTAATTATTATTAATACTAGAAAAAGTTTCCGAAATAGGACTAAAACAGTTTGAAAATTCCAAAATAGGACTGTCTTGTTTTTATTTCCAAAATAGGAGTAATTACTGCCAGGTTTAGAAAATACTGACATGTTTGAAGTCTTGCATTGCCAAAACATGACAGTAATTAGTCATATTTTGGGAATAAAAACATGACGATCTTATTTTGGGAATAAAAACTTGACAGTCCTATTTTGGAATTTTCAAACCTTTTTATTCTTATTTCGGGTAATATTCTCTTAATACTATTACTATTACTTTATTACTTACTCCGTATTTTATTTGTTAGTGAGAATTCCCTAAATAGGAGTAAAAACGTTTTGAAATTCCAAAATAGGACTATCATGTTTTTTATTCCCTAAATAGGAGTGAATTTCTGTCAAGTTTGGCATTACAAGGCTTTAAACATGACATTTTATTTCCAAACTTGGCAGATTACTCATATTCAGAGAATAAAAAACATTATACTCCTATTTTGAAATATCAAAACGTTTTTACTCCTATTTAGGGCAATTTGTGTATTTGTTGTAACCATCAAACATAAATAGTAAAGGGCGATGACCCCAAGTAGGTGATCCTCTCCTTTGATCATTCATAAATGAAAAAAAGTCATCTTACACACAACTCCCTTTATTGCCTTTAGTTTTATCATTATATTAAACTTTGTTCTTCAATTTGTTGTATCATCACCACATTATTATTACTCACTGCTCATTTTCACTCGTTGCATGTGTACTTCTGTTTCAGATTTTTTTTTTATTATTTGTCTTGTTCCTATACTTGAGAACTTTTACATTTTTTTCATATTCTTTTTCCAAAAATTTTAGTTTTCATTATTTCTTTCCTACCTTTTCTCATTTTCTTTCATACCTTTTTTTTGAATCAATTCATACCTTTTTTATTACCTCACTTATTATGTTCCACTGCTTCATTTTTTAATCTCCGTGAAATATCTCTAGCGACACATAAAAAAGAATGAAAGTAGTATATTATTACTATTATTAGTTGTTAAAACCACAAGTATATAGAGTGGACAAATGTGTGCAATAAGGTGATCCATTCCATTCATCTTTGATAAATGAAAAAGAGCTCCATATTGCACACATTTGTGCCCTCTATTTCTCATAGTTTTAGTATTCAGATTCCCTTCACTTTTTTTTTTTCATTTCTATTGTTTAATGTTGTTGTTGTTGATAATTATTATTAATGCTATTATTACTATTACTTTATTACTTATATTATTTGTTAAAATTAACCATCATCATAAATAGTAAAGGCCTAAAGGGTGATGAGCCAAGTAGTAGTTAGGTGATCCTCTCCTTTCACCATTCATTAATGAAAAAATGGATCATATTACACACAACTCCCTTTATTTTATAAGTGTTCGTATTCGAATTATCAGTTTATCACTTTCTTGTCGTTGTACGTTGTCAATTACTATTGTTGTTTTGTTATGGTTGAAGATGTTATTATTATTAATATTAATTACTACGTATTATTCTGTACTAATGTGCTATTATTGTTATGATTATTATTTGTTAAACCGACAAGTCTACAAGTATGCAAAGGGAAATTTGTAGTCCTCTTTAGTTTTCACTTCAAAAATATATAAAATCCTTAATTCCCCGTAAAAATGAAAAAAAATTACGAAGTACAGAGTATTTTGTTTGGTCTTAATTTTCTTTTGCTTCATTTGGTAATTGATTTGGTGATACTGGTACAGTGGGGTGAAAAGACAGCGTGATAAATAATTAATTATAAAATAGATAAAGAATCGGAGCAACAAATTAATTTAAATGAAATCTAAAGCATTTTTTTTTGTTAAATTGCAGAAATTACATTAAATAAAGCTTTGATAAGGATAGCTTATTGTACTAATTTACTGACCTCATTGATGGATGGTTACCCATCGGCTAGCCGGCGAAAGAAGACTCCGCATATTCTCCACTTCACTGCATGTTTTTTCCTCGTTATTAAGATCTACTCTGTATATATTTCTCTACGGTGAATAACTGTATATATAGTGAGAGTTAGCCGGCCAGATGAATGAAACGTCATCAAACCGGTGGCACCTAAATATTTGTCAAACTTAAATTGAAATTGAAAAAAAAAACTCTAATGTCACAATATACATACCATCATTACTTATTTACTTTCTCATAGCTCATTTGGTAACATTGAAATTGATGAATCGACTGATTTCACGGAAATTTATAAAGTTTTGACTGAAATGAATGTATTAATTGATTTTACAATAATTTCATCTAATACAACTAGCTAGAGAACCAGTTTTAACCTTACTTATTTGATTATCACACAATTCAGCACGCAAAATCAAAATTTAAGTATTTGATACATTAACCAGTTGACTATTAAGCCAAAAAACGGAATAACTAAACGGGTTCTTTGTTTCTTTAACTAAAAATTACGTAGTACATAATAACGATATCATTATAGTAAATGCTCAATATTAAATAGGACTATAAGATAAAAACATTAACAAATTAAATTATTAAAGGAAAATTAACATTAAATAATAAAACTTTGGAGTACGTAATGATGAATAAGTCATAAGTGCATAGAATTTTTAGAACACAATTTGAAAAAACCTTCTTGGACGTATCTCATGAGATCAGACGACATTTTTATTGAATTTGAGAGAGATAAAATTTCATTACATAAATAATTATGCGAGGGGGAAAAGTGAGAAAATTTAAAAAAAAAACTTTGAGAAACTAATTGATATTATATAATGCAGTTTTCTATTAGTTATTCTGTCATAAGACTTTGGAGTACTAATGATGAATAAGTGCATAGAATTTTCAGAACACAATTTGAAATAGTCTTCTTTGACGTATCTCGATCATGAGATCAGACGACATTTTTATTGAATTTGAGAGGGATAAAATTTAATTACATAAATAATTATGTGAGGGGCAAAGAGTGAGAATATTAAAAAAAAATTGAGAAACTAATTGATACTACAAAGGGCTATTATATAATGCAATATTCTATTAGTTATTACTCCCTCCGTCCCTGAATTATCTTCAAACTTTCCTTTTTCATCCGTCCCAAAATTATCTCCTCTTTCTCCTTTTAGCAAAGAATTTGTGGTTCACAACCATTCTTATACATTCTTACACATTTCTCTCTCCTCTGCACAACTCTCCACCACACAAATCTCACTATCTTAATAAATGTGCCCAGCCGAAATGGGAGAAAGATTAGGGACGGAGGGAGTATGTCATAGGGGATATTAGTAATTTTCCAAATTAAAATAATTAAAATATGTAATGCCTTAAAAATTTAGGAATTATTATTATTAGCCCCTATGGTTAAGTCAAAATTACTAACTCAACCTTTTATTTTTAAAAATTAATAATTTACTCCTCGAGTTTTAGGTATTCAATATGATGATATCATATTTTTTCTTAGTATTTCTTCTTGACTACACATTGAAGAAATGTCATTGAGATTAATTATCTAGATATATTACAAATAAGAGTTTCATATTCATGATGGAGAGATGCCTAAGATTTTAATGACGCATATTTTAAACAAGAAGAAAAATCGCGAGTCTTCTCCTGCTACTATCGTCACTAATATTGTTCCACGAATAGCTAAGTTGAACAAAATCGATTTACAACAATGACTTGCAATTATGATAATAAATTTTATTTTATTTTTTAATGTTAATTATGTAGACATTTTCATTAAATTTGCGAGAGATATGAAAATGAATTTAATAAATATTAACTTATGGGAAAATGGTTGAAAATGAAAAGTTGCATTAATGATTGCGACATAACTTCAATGCAGGTATTAGTACTTTCCCCAAAATTTAGGCGTTGTTTATTAATAACTTGTGATGTAACTAATTTATGATGTACGTACATAAAAGTCTCCAGCATCTACTTTTTATAATTTGACACCAGTATACCACTAAAATATTTGGTAATGATTTACAATTTTACACTGCATTTTGTAAAAAAAATGAAGACTTTATCCCGCAGCAATCCAAAATCTATGGCACAAATAAATGATGTTTCCTCTCAAACGGTCAAAGCCTTTATTTGGTTATTGGCCATTCCGAGGAAATGCTGGCCTAATTGGCCACAATTTGTAGCGATTTTACTTTTTAGTATAATTGATGTCGCCGCTTTGGCAGAAATGTCAAAAGCCAAACATAACCTGTTACGATATACTTCCTCCTTATTTTTTTTATTTGCAACGGTCCAACTTTTCACGTTTGTAATGCACAAGTCTAACTGTTAATATCTTTCATTTTTTATTAGTAAACAAATTTAACAATGAATACTGTTAAATTCATTGAGAGGAATTTAACAATATTTGTTTTTAAATTTAATTTATAACACATTAATAAATAAAATAAAGTCACAGTAGAATATGAGAATAGTGCAAAAGGTCTAATGTTGCATATAAAAGAAAACAGATGTAATACTTAGCTTCTTCATTCCTACATTCTTTTTAATTGCAACATATCTATATTTATGTTTCTTAATGTTTCAAAAAGCTCACATGAAAATTTAAAATGAGAAATATTTAATTATATTTCTAAAAAATAATTTTTTAATACATTTATAAATAAAATATAATCAAAGTAGAGCACATGAATAGTATAAAATATATACTCCATCTATTGAGGAAACGGTCCAACCCCAATTACTCCAGGCCCCCCCAACACCCCTCCCTCAAACGTCCCCTGAAGTAAAAAATAATAATTCAATCTATCATTTCTTATCTCTATCTATCTAATCTTTGTTATTTTTCCCCGTTTTTTTGTTTGGGAACCTCCGAATTTTTATTAATGAAGTCACTACGTGAATGAATGAAAATTAACAAGGGTCACAATAAGGGAAACTTCGTTGGAAAATTTTACCGTGCTTCGCATTAGTGAATGTTTTGGTGCGTTTGCCACTTGGCTCAAATCCGTTGGTCATTTGTTCCACGTAAGACACTTTATTTTTAAAATTGCAAATCAGTCCCTAGGATCATAACACCGTAACTGAACAAGAAACCAGTTGAAGCCCTTAATCATCCCCTCGAACAAGAGCAATCTGGTCTAACCTAAACATCAGTCGGCCAATGTGCAAGCATCCTCTTTAGGTATTCATATTTGCTTTAACGAAATCAAAGAATCGAAAGGATCTCCAAATTTTCCAATTGGGTTTCGGGTTCCTTTTATCCTCGGTATTCCCATAGTCAAGGTTGCACAGCCACTTTGTGACTTGACTTAATCATTTCCTTCTATCATCCCTAATTTGTTCATTTTTCACTACTTTTGATTGTATTCAATTATCAAACTTATTTTCCCTGGTTTGAAATGATCTAATTTTTATATTGTCAGCTTGTTAAATTGTAAATGCTCATATTATAAGCTTCTTGAATTGTGATTGCTCGTATTATCAGCTTGTTGAATTTCCCAAACTGAAAAAATTGTGATTGTTTCAGGAAGCATTTATTTAATTTTAGCTTATCAAGTCATGCTTATAGTTTAGCATTAACAATCTAGTTTAGATTTATTGAAATGTAAATTAGGTAAACATACCTTGAAAGTGATATCTTCATACAAATGATACAGTGAAAGTACTAACCTAAGTTCTGATTATGAGTTTGTAAATGCAACTTCACCTAATGTGCAGTTAAGATTGTGATTTTGTTTATTTTCCATTTGACGTAGTAGGATCGTTTTTTAGCTGATTGAGAATTTTGTGTTGAGCCCATACCCATTTATGAGAAGGATGATGTATGTATTGCACTATCGTATAGCCTTTATTCATTTAGTTACTTTTCATCGCTTCCTCTTGTATAAGTGACTAATACTCGCTTAAAGTGTCTGTTGTTACATTCTCATGTTTGCTTTGGGCATGCAGGGTAGGGTATTAGCTATATAAGAAGTATAAACAGTGATTAAAACACAAGTTTAAGTCACTGATTTGTGTTGTGTCTTTTTTCTTCACTCTGCAGAGGGAAAAATTGAATGAAAAAGAGAGTGAGTTCAAAGATGATTAATAGCAAAGTGTTGCACTCTGCCTCAGCTTTTGCAAAGGCTAACGTATGTACTTACGCTCACTTTACTTTCATTAGAGTTGTTTACATTCCTCTTTTGATCCATTTATGACCACACTGAAGTCTTCTGGCTTTGAAACAATCTTCTAAAGTAGGTTCCAAACCTAACCAGTCTTTTTAAATAGAGGTGAGATCAAGTAACGACGCACCAGAACTAGTATCAGCAGTATTACCTTTTTGCTTTAACTTAATCTTGTCTGCTTATCAATGAAATTTTCGATAAAAAGTTGTATTTTATGGGATTTAAAATGGTTAATTGGGATATAATGTAATATATTTTGAAATATCATTAACTTTTTTATTTTTTTAATGTAACAAATGTTAGGAACTATTGTTGTTTTTTATTAATGTTTCAGGTAACAAGATATACCTTGCTGGACTGTTTGAGGACACTAACCTCTATGCCATTCATGCCAAGCACGTGATCGTAATGCCCTAGGACATCCAGTTTGCTAGGATTATCAAGGGAGAAGATGCTAAGACAATGATTTCTGTTCTTTGTTTAAATGGTTGTATTGAAATTTGTTTGTTCTTCTATCTCTCATAGTCTCATGTATTGTTAAATTTGTTAGTATTGAAGCTTTTATTATCTTCTTATGTAAGCTTAGATGCTATAAGATAAATAATGTGTTGTGTTTGTTGGAAAGAAATTATTCATTGAGTATGCTTTGGTTTTCATGGGTTTGTCTCTTCAATTAGCCAATGGAATCAATGTTATTATCTGTGTATTAAAACTTTTGTGTTGGTCCTACTTTAAGGTCCAGTTCGTTGGATCATAAATCAATTTTGTTGCTAATTTGTTGTATGTGAGTGAAGGGTAATGTTCGTTTAGCATTTGTATTGGCCCGAAGACAATTTTTTTTGACAATAAATGTGATCACAGTGGAAA